ATCTGCAGTGCCAGCGTCCCATATGGACACCGGTTCAAGTCCCGGCTGTTCCACTTCCAATCCAGCTCTCTGGTATGGCCAGGAAAAGCAGTGGAAGACGGCCCTAGTCCTTGGGCCACTGTACCTGCGTGGGAGACCCGGAAGAAGCTTCTGGCTCCTAGCTTCAGATGGGCCCAGCTCCAGCCATTGTGACCATTTGGGGAGTGAACCAGCAGATGGAAGACCTCTCTCTGTCTCTCTTTGAGAGACCTCTGCCTCTCAGTAACTCTGCCTTTCAAATAAATAAATAAATCTTAAAAAAAAAAAAAAAAGCCAAAGAACCCAAATGCAAAGGAGAGAGATTCATGAGCAGATTTTGATCAACAACCAACAGACTAGAGAAATCTAGCCCATCCCACCCTACCCACAGCACCCTCTTCACCTCTGGTCATTGAGGCATCATGAAGTGTGTGTTTGTGCACGAGTCTGCAGGTGCACACACACACCTGTGATCTGTGAGTGAACCGAATTGTAGATGGAACTTGATTACCCTCGGCCTTCAAATATTAGGTGTTCTCCAGCCTCTTCCACCCAAACCACGAGCTTTTCCACATGGTACTTTAACGAAGGAACCTGGTAAACTGCACTCTGCCTCAAGTTCACAATGTCTAGGCTCCAGCGGGTTTAGTCCCTTTTTTTCAACAGTTGAACCTGAAAGAAAAGGAAGGGAGACGATGGGAGAAGTCCACAGTTTGAGTGGGAGCTGGAGAGAGGTGGAGAAAGGATTTATTTTTTTAAGAAGTCATTGATTTTTCTCTTTAAGTTGACTTTGCGAGAGGCCACGTCAGCTGCCCATAGGGAAGTTAGCCGACACCTGGTTTGTTCTTCAGGGGCTGCAACCTTTTCGCAGTGGAAATTGCTTGGCCCCCTGTGCTATTAGCTTTGTGCTGTGGTGTTGCCAACCGATTTCTCCAATTCTCTTTTCTCAGTGGGCTAGAACGCAGCTGGTTAAATAGGCCGTGACTCACATAAGCTCCTGTGTCTTTTTTATTGACTGCTTTATGGAAATGGATCGCACTCCAAAGGGTCCCCATTGTTGTGGCTGTGCATAGCTGACTGTGGAGTCACGTTTAGCGCTGAAAGATGGACTCCTACCCTGTCGGTTTTTATTGCAGAGTTGAGTATGGGTGGAATCCAAGTGTTTAAAGGAATCTGGATGAGGAGAGAAGGATGTCTGAGAATTTCTTTTATCTTCATCTGCCATGAAAGTTGGGCGGCTATCCCTGCGGGAGGACCCAGTTCTCTGCTGATCTTATCTTGAGGGTCTCCCGTCCCTCAGCTAAGTGAATGTCTTCTCTGTGTGGTCTGAGAGATTTAGTTAAGTGCAGAGGTAGAGAGAGATGATGTCACCCACGTGATTCTGTTTTGTGCTGATATAATGTGACACACCTCTAGGTTTACCCAATACATTGAAATCATTTCTATTTTTTCATTCCGGGGAAGGGGGTGATATCTTTTTTCAGGTAATGAGCAACATGCCTCTATTCTTTTAATTGTATACTTAAATAAAAATGTTTTCACCTTAACACCTTACATAACTGTTTATGGCTTTTTCCATTTTTATTATCCTACAAAGCATTTGCATGACTTTCTGTTATGGGTTCAATGGCTCTCTGCAGATCTGTTCATTTGCTGGTAGGTATGGAGTCAGGCATACAGAGTTCTTCCCGCTAGTTACCTGACGCTGTGGTTGATGTTGTCCCTTCTCAAGATCACCAGTTCATCATCAGGAGACCCCTGAGCTGACACGGAAAGAAAAGACAGCTGGAATGTCACGATGACTTCCCATCTCAGCGTGTGGATTTGTCAGTAGATCACAGAGCTAATGAGATTGAGCTCAGAGTCTACTCTACATGAAAACAACGGGCACCGTACTCACCACGCTGTGCCTTGTACGTAGAAGACAGTCAGTAGAACCGAAGCTGTCTTATTTGATCTCCTAAATTTTTTTCGATAGCCATCTTTTCCACTGCCCATACAGGGAAACCAGACAACAGGGTTCATCAATAAAGATTCCCTCTAACAAGTAAGAAAGCAACATAAGACATCCTACAGACTACATACAAAAACACAACATAAAAACAGTTTCCAGCCATGCTTGTTATTAATATTGGTGGCGAATGACCAGGTGAGAAAATTCAGCAACTCATACAATGCTTGCTTTCAGCAAACTGAGTCCGACTCTTGAGGAGAGAGGTGGTGTCGGGGCTGCCCCTCCTCCCTCCCAGAAATGAGTGACTTGGAGTTCAGACATTTCTGCTGCATTATGTCTTTGTTTTCTTGGTGGTAGCATTCTTGGGTTTCAGTTGGTGGGGAGAAAATGCCTCATGCTGATAATGTACTGAAAGTAAATGAAATTAAATAAGCGGAGCAGTGCTCATCACTACTTCCTCCCCCCTGGGTAATTCAATTCAAGCTCTCTCTCTGATGGCAACTCACAGGGGCTGTCTCTGTCACCCCGCTGGGGCCTGGAGTCTTAACATCTAAATAAAAGTTTCACTCAAGCATTTTTTATGCCCCTGCCAGCAGGATCAGTGAGCTGGTGTGAGCACATTAATGTAATATTCATACTCCAGACTCTCCCCGCACACAAGGCAACGTCTTCCCATTTTCATAATTATAGATGTTCCATAAAATGGCATATAGATTTGCATTAAAAAGGGAGGTTTGAATTCTAATAGAATGTTTAACATGTCTTTTATGATTCAGACTCTTGGCATCTTTAACAAGAAGCTGTGTCTCTTAAGTTTCCCAAAATCTTAAAAAAGAAAAGGAGGTGAACAAACTTGTGGGAAGAAGACATGGAAAGTCTAAGCTTAGGGGATCCTGCTTTCCTGTCCCCTGTGTCTTTCATTTTTAAGCCTCCAGGAGCAGCTTCGCTTCAGAGTCACTTTGGAGAGGATGCCCTGTCCCTCCAAGGGGGTCTTCTCCAGGGTGCCTGGTCCTCCCCTCACCCAGAACTCTCTCCCGTCCTCCACCCCCAGAAGAATCTATTGCTGTTTTCTTGGAGAGTGTTTTCAGAAAATTTCAGAGGAGTTAGGGGAAATGAAAGAATCCTAGAAAAATGAACTTTCCTTTGCTGCTGTTCATGTCATGCGTGCACCCTGAGACCCATCTGGGAGGACTGATGGCAGCCACATAGTTCGCCACCTGTAAAACACACCAATGGAAATGGTCCCTGAACAAGGCAGCTGACAGTAAGGACTGAGTGGATAAACAGTCAGACACACAAACACACAGAACAGCAGGAGAGGCTCTTCTGAGCTACATTTTAAAAACTAAGCTTGGAACAATTAACTGGGAAGCAAAAGGTCATTTACTTGTGTAGTGTTTAAGTTTTGTTGTTGTTTTTAAGATTTATTTTGTTTGAAAAGCAGAGTTACAAAGAAAGAGAGAGAGAGCGAGCTTCCATCTGCTAGTTCACTCTCCAAATGGCCATAATAGCTGGGGCTGGACCAAGCCAAAAGCAGGAGCCAGGAGCTTCATCCGAGTCTCCCATGTGGGTGGCAGGGGCCCAAGCACTTGGGCCATCCTCCACTGCCTTCCAAGGCACATTAGCAGGGAGCTGGATTGAAAGTAGAGCCACTGGCCATTTGCGGGGGTGAACCAATGGAAGGAAGACCTTTCTCTCTCTCTCTCTCTCTCTCTCTCTCTCTCTCTCTCTCTCACTGTCTAACTCTGCCTATAAAAAAAAAAAAAAAAAAAAAAGTGGATCCACTGGGACTCAAACCAGCACCCATATGGGATGCCAGCATTGCAGGCAGCAGCTCAACCCATTGTACCACAATGCCAGCCCATTACTTACATTTTAAATTGTTCTAAAATATTATTTTTAAACAAAAAATAGGTAGAGCGCTGAGCAAAGAGCCAACTCATTGCACCATTGAATAAATATTAGGTATTGTAGAAGTTCAAAAGCAATTAATTGCTCAATTGAAAAAAATAAAATTCTTTCACCCAGAAGTCTCAAGATACTATATAGATGGTCCTATTGATTTCTATGTGATTGTGCCTTACTTTGTTTTGTATTTGGTTTGCTTTGTAAATGTTTTAAGGCAACCAACAGAGATCTGGGTTTGGGATTAGCCTACTCTTCATGTTTCCTAGTTAAAATGTATTTGTGTTCCCTAGAGAGTTTTGTGTTGTTTTTGTACTTGATGTCTGAAGAGTAGGCTCCCTTCTCTTTGTCTCTGTCCTTCGCCCCTCTCTAGAGCAAGCCTAAACCCCAGTGGGAGAAGCTGAATGAGGATCTTGACTTCGCAGTACATTTGTATCTAACAAGGCTAATTGAAAGTCAAGAATGTTAGCAGCATACACTTAAAAGGTTGACGTCAGTTCCAGGGTCTTTGTTAAGGCCTCTACCACCCTAAGACTCTGTTCCATGCTCAGGACATCAGGATGTGGCTGTTATGCCAAGCTCAGCTTGGATAACCCTTCTTTGTGCAAACTTAACAAAATCTATGTTCACAAAGGTGCCTTTCTTTTTGTTAAAAAAAAAAAAAGAAAAGAAAAAGAAAAAGAGTGTGCGTTTATTGTTCCCACTGAGGTGAGTGCATTTATAGTGGAGTCTGTCACTCATTAAAGCTTGTCTGTGCTGGTAGCTATTCATTTGACTTGTGATTATCTCAATGTGGGTTTTCCAATTTGGAGCTTATATCCACAGCAAATTCTTCATTCCCTGGAGTCCTTTTCCTGCCAATCAGCACATATTTAGGCTGCCTCGCCCTTGCCACAAACTAATGTATATGGGGATCATTGTAAGCGATTTTAGCATTAGATATCATTAGGAAGAAAGAAAATTAACTGTTTCTTCCCAATCATGTAGAAATTGTCTTATTTTGCTCTGCGGTTGAGCAATTGACCCTCCGTACCCCGTCATTACTGTGGATTATCTAAAGTCACCTAAATAAAGGAAAATATTGTCAGGTTTCCACAAACCGTTTTGCTGTTGCTTCTTTTAGGAGTGGAAGACGTGGTGAGAGGAGCCCAAGAGCTTGATAACATCATCAAGCAAGGGTACTTGGAAAAGAAAAGCAAAGGTATGGGTCAGACTCGCAGGCCGCAGGACACTTCAGCAAAGGAAGGGGAGCTGGGAAAAAGAGGGCGAGACAGCAGGGGCTTCGTAGTGCCCGGGACTGTGCTAGGCACGTGTAAGGCAAAAGCAGGGCAAGGCCAGGAGAGAGGTCTGGTGTTCATGTGACAGCTCAAGAGAGATGGCCCACATCTTCAGCAGACTGTGAGCTTTGTCAGGATAGGGACTGGTTCTGCCGTGGGCGCTGCTGGATCCCCAGTGTCTGGTACATGACAGGTGCTTGATAAAACTTATTGAGCAAATGGATGGATGATACCCTTGTTGTCATCTCTCCGTGTGCTCCCATAAGGAGTGAGACTTCTGCCAGGAGGGTATTTATATATCACATAGACTTGCAAATTTCACACAAGCCCAACTCTTGACCTTTTTCATGAAATGAGAGCAGTTGCTACTAGGATTGGGGTCCCAGGGTTAAGCTCAGCAGGCAAATTAACTTAGCACACACACCAAAAAAAAAAGTTTTTCTCATCGCCATGACCAGGAGCATCATTTTGGTTTGTCAAAGACAACATGTAGCGATACCGTGGAGAGTTTTAAGAAGTACAGGATGAGATTAGGACATGAAAGACACAAGGGAAGGCAAAATAAAAAGACAGCTACCCAGCCACAGAGCAGGCAACCCTGCTTAGAACTTAGACCTTTAACAGAGCGAGTGCTGTGTATTCTGAGTCAACACGGGGTAACCTGTGGGAGTGAAAGGGAGGGGTTTACAGTCCATTAACCTGGGGAATAAAACAATAACACACTGGACCGTGTGTGTCAGATTTTACAGACTCTTCAGCAATTGTAGTTACCTAAATTTATGTCCCCTCCTTCTGTTTAGATCATAGTTTCTTCGGCTCGGAGTGGCAGAAGCGCTGGTGTGTTGTTAGCAGAGGCCTCTTCTACTACTATGCTAATGAGAAAAGTAAGTGTTCTTCATTTGCCAGGCAGCTTCTCACTCCTGGACGCAAGCACTGTGTAAATTCTCAAGCACTTAGACCTCAAGATAGCAGTCCTTACCGAACACCCACAACAGGGACGTGCTCAGGAGAGAAACAGGCTTGAGTAAAGAATGCCTTGCCCACCACCAAAAGCAGAAGCCAACTGGAAATTATTTTACCTTTAGTCCCTATGAAGGGGTGGTCAACCTATCAAAGAGTTCTCTTTCCTATGACCAATAACATAACCTTGTCAAAGTGGGACATTTTGGCTTTCTTTTGTTTTGGCTTTTTTGTTGGTTTTTTGTTGTTGTTGTTGTTTATTTATTTATTTGAAAGAATTACAGGGGGAGAGGGAGAGACGGAGAGAGAATCTTCGATCCACTGATTCACCCCCCAGATGGCTGCAATGGGCAGGGCTGGGCCAGGCTGAAGCCAGGCGCTAGGAGTTTCATCCGGTTCTCCCACATGGGTGCAGGGGCTCGAGCACTTGAGTCATCTGCCGCTCTCCCAGGCACGTTAGTAGGGAGCTGGACCAAAAGCAGAGCAACTGGGACTAGAACTGGTGCCCATATGGGATTCCGACATCGTAGTCAGCAGCTTAACCTGTTGCACCACAACACTGGTCCCATTCTTTTGTTTTTTAAGCAGAACTTTGAACTCTATATAGGTATGAGTAGCATAGCTACACTGTTGAAAATTTTCATTCTGAGAAAGACTTAAACAGCTTAATAATGACCCACAGATAGAACCCCGGAGTTCAGACTCCCTAAGCACACACTCCCAACTTTAGCCTACTCACTACTGAGGTGTAGTCCAGTGGACATCCCGACAGCCACCCAGTGTTGAGACCAAGGAGTTGCTGAGCCCAAGAGACACCCCTCAGGCAGACAGCAGTGACCGTGAAATGCTGACTCCGTTTGTTAATGAGCCACCACTGACTGCATCAAGCACAACACTCACGAGGCAACCCGAGAAGCGCTCCCCTCCACGTTCAGCACAGTCGCGTCACTCATGAGAAGGAATAGAAGATACAAGCATAACAGGGAGGCAACCACAAATAAGTGCAAGCTAAAAACTGTTACCAGTAAATGAATGCAATCTTTCAAACGGGGGATACCCTCCTGCAGCACTGGACTGCCCCAGAGGTGGTAGGAAGACAGTGACACCACGAATAAAGCCTCCACGCTTGTGTGGCCTTCCTTGTTCTCTGCCGCCTTTGCACAGAGACCGGAGATACGAATACAGAGCACATCTTTCTTTTTCCTTCCAACCATGATCTGTTTCTCCTCTTTTCCCAAATGCATCGCTCTCCAGATGCCCAGATAGCCAGACTAGGGAATAACCAGATACCCACCCAGTGGCCTTTGGACTCCTACCCCTCTGATACTAAGGTAGCAGAAAGAGCTGTAGCTTTTCTGAGGGACTTGGAATCCTTAAGATTTACCCTGGGGAAAGCAGTAGAAGATGGCTCAAGTCCTTGGGCCCCTGCACCTGCGTGGGAGACCCAGAAGAAGCTCCTGGCTTTGGATCACCATATCTCCAGCCATTGCAGCCATCTGAGGAGTGAACCAGTGGATGGAAGACCTCTCCCTCTGTCTCTACCTCTCTCTGTAACTCTGTCTTTCAAATACATAAAATAAATCTTTTAAAAAATATTTTTTCCCTGGGGCTCTGTGGCAGGTGCCTGGCCGTGCCTCTCTTCCTACAGCAGATTTTGCTGATCCTCAGATCCTCATCTTCGTTCATCATGTTGGGTTCCTCCGAATCATTCCCATTTTGTGGGTGAGGTGTGGAGCCTTGGGGCTGGTGTGATGGCACAGTGGGTTAAGCCGACATCCATGACACCAACATCTCACATGGGCACTGGTTCGAGTCCTCGCTGCTCCATTTTCAATCCAACTCCCTGCTAATGAGCCTGGGAAAACATCGGAGGGTGGCCCAAGTGCTTAGGTCCCTGCCACCCACATGGGAGACCCAAGTGAAGCTCTTGACTTCAGCCTGACCCAGCCTTAGCTGTTGCAGACATTTGGGGAGTGAAACAGCAGATGGAAGATATCTATCTATCTTATCTATCTGTCTGTCTGTCTGTCTGTCTATCTCTATCTCTCTAATCTGTCTTTCTCTCTCTGTGTCTCTAACTCTATCTCTCTCATTCTGTCCCTTTCTTCCTGTAACGATGCCTTTCAAATAAATCTTTAAAAAAAAAAAAAAAAGTGTGGAGGCTTACTTGGAAGTGACAGCAGCATAGTTTGAACACTGAGCAACAAGCCCCTGTGTCCTTCCAGCCTTCAGCCCACCCTCAAGTTCAGCAACCACAATTCCTCCTCTGGATTTTCACGGTATACACCAGCCAGGTGGTGTTTTCTTACGTTAAACCGTCAATTTAATATGACATTGAGTCAGGATTTAAAAAAAAAGTTCATCACTTCCTATGCATTTAAATAAATGGATGGCAATTCTGGAAGTAAGACCAGGTCTCTAGCCTGTTCATTCAGAATCCTTCACACTCACAGTGAGAGAGGAGGGGGAGAGACTTTTATTGACCGTTTTGCCATCAGGGTGACATAAAATCCAATGACCAAAGAAACAACAAAACATGTTAGTGGCCGGCTAGAACAGGAGAGATACTTTACGAAAAAAGATTCCAGTGTGAAAAAGCACCCGAGTGGGGCTCCCTTCTTGCCAGTTGCTACTTCTTGTGCCCAGGGCACTTTCTTAGCAAGCACTGTCTGTGTATTTCTTTAGCTCAACTAGGGGAGGACAGCATTTTTGCAGTGTTGTCGCCCCACTTCCATCCATCTCATCAGCAGCATCAGAAAGCCCATGTTAATTAGGCAGGTGCATTCCACGTGACACAGGGCAAGAGCTTCACCCAGACGCTGCAGGTCCATGCCTCAGTGCTTCCTGCCTGAACTGTGCAAAAAGGACACAAGACTCGGCCGGCGCCCTGGCTTAATAGGCTAATCCTCCGCCTGCGGCGCCAGCACCCAGGGTTCTAGTCCCGGTCAGGGCACCGGATTCTGTCCTGGTTGCTCCTCTTCCAGTCCAGCTCTCTGCTGTGGCCCGGGAGTGCAGTGGAGGATGGCCCAAGTGCCGTGGGAGACCAGCTCCTGGCTTTGGGATCAGTGCAGTGCGCCAGCCGCAGCGGCCATTGGGGGGATAAACCAACAGTAAAGGAAGACCTTTCTCTCTGTCTCTCTCTCTCTCACTGCCTGTCAAAATAAATAAATAAATAAATAATTAAAAAAGGACACAAAACCTTGGAGAGCCACCTCCTCTTTTCCTGTTTCTTATTTTTTGTTTTGTTTTCAAAGATTGATTGATTGATTGATTTGAAAGGCAGAGTTACAGAGAGGCAGAAGCACAATGGCCAGGGCTAGGCTGATCTAAAGTCAGGAGGCAGGAGCTTCTTCCAGGTCTCCCATGGGAGTGCCAGGGCCCAAGGACGTGGGCCACCTTCTACTGTTTTCCCAGGCCATAGCAGAGAGCTGGATAGGAAGTGGAGCAGCTGGAACTCGAATCAGCACCATATGGGATGCCAAGGCTGAAGACAGCGGTTTTACCCACTACACCACAGCACCGGCCCCAGTATTGTATTTTTTTAAAAAAGGAGTGACACAGGGCCAGTGCTGGGGCATAGAATGTTAAGCCTCTGCCTGCAGTGCCAGCATCCCATATGGGTGCTGGTTCAAGTCCTGGCTGCTCTGCTTCTGATCCAGCTCCCCAGCTGATGCACCTGGGAGGGAAGCAGAAGATGGCCCAAGTGTTTGGGCCCCTGTGCCCACATGGGAGACGCAGATGAAGCTCCTGGCTTTGGACCAGCCCAGCTGCAGCCATTGCAGCCATTTGGGTAGTAAACCAACAGATGGAAGCTCATGCGTGCTCTCTCTCTCTCTCTCTGTCTTGCTCTCCCCCTCCCTCTTTCTCCCTCTCTCTACCTCCCTCTCCCACTCTCCTTCTCTCTCTCTCTCCCCCACCTCCCTCTCCCTCTCCCTCTCCCTCTCTCTCTCTCTCTCTCTTCTCTCTCTCCCTCTCCCTCTCTGTCTGTGGCTCTGCCTTTCAAATAAATGGAAATAAGTCTTTAACAAAAAAAAAAAAAAAAAGAGTAACACAGAGTAGCCTTTCCTTTCCTTAAGGTCCTCCTCTTTTCTATTTTTTTTTTTAATTTATTTTTATTTGAGAGGCAGAGGCGAGTGTGGGGGGGTCTTCCCTCCACTGGTTCACTCCCTAGGTGGCCTAAACAGCTGGAGCTGCGCCAACCCAAAGCCAGGAGCCAGGAGCTTCTTCCAGGTCTCCCATGCAGGTACAGGGGCCTGAGCACTTGGGCCATTTTCAGCTGCTTTCCCAGGCCATAGCAGAGAGCTGGATCAGAAGTAGAGCAGCCGGAACTCAAACCATCGCCAGTATGGGATGCTGGCACTGCAGGCGGTGGCTTTATCCACTATGCCACAGCGCCAGCACCAAGGGTCCTCCTCTTTTCATCGCCTTCCTCATCATTTGGGGATACTCAACAGCACTCTGCCATGTCGCAGGAGGACCTCTGGGTAGAAGGAGGAAACACGGAGTTTTTATTATTCTTCCTGGGGCTGGCGCTGTGGCGTAGCAGGTAAAGCTGCCATCTGCAGTGCCAGCATCCCATATGGGCGCTGGTTAGAGTCCTGGCTGCTTCACTTCCAATCCAGCTCCCTGCTATTGCACCTGGGAAAGCAGTAGAAGATGACCCAAGTCCTTGGGCCCCTGCACCCACACAGGAGACCTGGAAGACTCTCTTGGCTCCTGGCTTCGGATTGGCCCATCTCCGGCCATTGTGGCCATTTGGAGAGTGAACCAGTGGATGCAAGACCTCTCTCTTTCTCTCTCTCTCTGCCTCTGCCTCTCTGTAACTCTGCATTTCAAATACATAAATAAATATTTATATTCTCTTGCACAAAACACCCACCTGAGCAGCAGGAGGCAGGGGAGAGGGATTTAACCCAAATGCGGCAAAGGGCATGAGAGGAGATGCCAGGACCCTATCCCACCCCCCAGTGCTGCTGTCCCCTCCCTCAGATGTGAGCTCTGCTGGCCTGATAATAATGCATCCGCTCTTTAATAGCCTTCAAGAGCCTCAGGTTCACAGCCACACTGTCCCTGCTGTAATAATTCCTTCTCTCTGTTATTATAGATCTCTTAACATTCTAATAAATTTCCTGTCTCTGTTGGACCTTTCGTGCTGCATTTCCCTAGCTTGGCAGTGATATCTGCCTCTTCTTGAGCTTCCCTAATAACCTTAACCGGGCTGTTGTGGTTCCTCAGGGAGGCAACGTGACATTCCAGCGCAGGTGCCTTCCCCAGGCCTTGGGTCTCTAGGGATCCAAGGAGCTTTCCTGTCTTGCAGGCAAACAGCCCAAAGGGACCTTCCTCATTAAGGGCTACAGTGTGCGGATGGCCCCCCACCTGCGAAGAGACTCCAAGAAGGAATCCTGCTTTGAGCTGACCTCCCAGGACAGGCGCAGCTATGAGGTAGGTAGGCGCATCTCCTCCCCGGGGCAGCCGACGGACGCATCATCCCCTGTTGCACAGGAGCCCCAGTTCCCGGGCTGGCTTCCCCCTTGCTGTGTTACCTGCGGCTTCCTCGCCAGTGAAGACCCTCTTTGTGGACATGTCCTCCCGCTTGCCGTGTCGTGTCCCCGCTTCTTGCTGTTGCCACTGTGCTTGGCTTCTGTCGCTTCTTCCCTCCCCTTCCAGTGAGTCTAGTCTGCTGCAGTACACTGGGTCCTTTCCTTAGAGTCTCAGTCCTTGGCTTTCATTCCCATTCTCTGTTTGTTTGTTTGTTTTGTTTGTTTGTTTGTTTTTTAACTGATTGTCTTCATTCCTGTCCGTGAAAACCAGAAAAGGGAAAATCTAAAATGGAGAATGAAGATAATTTCTTTTCTTATGTCCGTCTTGCTGTCTGAAACAACTTTCTTGAATTGTACTGCGCATCTCCAGAAGAATTTCCAAGGTCGAGGTGACCGTGCTTACTGAGGGACTGGAGAAATACGCCTCACTGGGCTCATTCCTACATCAAGGAGTCTGAGAAGATTCATGGATATGTATATTGTGAAAACACCACGCGTGGATTTCAAAAACACTTGCACCAAAATGCATTTCTCTTTAAATTCCATTTCCACAAACTTTTTGAAGTGCACTTGTATTTTGAAGGTTTGCTTCATGCATTTACTACCTATTATGAAATTAATTAAAACAAAAAAATTCTGATGATAGGTATATAGTGATTCTCACACAGTGTTTTTTATGTTGTTTCCTGCTTGTTGATAATTTTTATTTTGTCATAGTTTCACTGAAACAACAGAAAAACTTTAGCCAACTTACATAATATAGAAAAAGCATTCTCAGATTAACCACTTGAGTAGTGACTTTTAAAAAATTTTTTTGCCATTCATCTTTTTTTATTTCTTAACCCTTATTTTGATAAAAAAAAATTACCTAGATCTTATTTTGATAAAATTGGGACTCATTTCCAAATTTTTAAAAATTTGAACTAAGACTTTCCTAAAAAAATTTTTTAAATCTATATAATACAGGTGTATGCACTGAGTATGTTTCTAAGTTGACTTTATTATTAAATTCTGGTGGTACTATATATCCAGAAAAAAGTTTATATGAATTTTTTTGTTGCTTAAATAATGTGCTTCTAAGAGACTAAAAACGGCAATGTCTGTTAAATAGGTATTATGCAAAAATCTAGGTTTCTTATATAGTGTGTATCTTGACCCTTGACCCTGACCTAGTGGCCAGATCATTAAAGTGTTTTTCAGGGATAGGTCTTTCAAGCTGATTCATTTACAGTGAAAACTGACGGGGGCTTGCTGCTAGGTGGTGTGTTGTGTGAGTCAGGGTGTAGTTTACTTGCTTCCTCTTTTCTCTGGCCCACTAATCCAAGTCATTAGCACGGTCTGTGGGTTCTTCCTCAACAGTATCCTTCGAATCTTTCCCTTCTTATTTATTTATTTATTTATTTATTTTTTGGACAGGCAGATTTATACAGTGAGAGAGAGACAGAGAGAAAGAGAAAGGTCTTTCTTCCATTGGTTCACCCCAAATGGCCGCTACGGCCTGCGCTGAGCTGATCTGAAGCCAGGAGCCGGGTGCTTCCTCCTGGTTTCCCATGCGGGTGCAGGGCCCAAGCATCTGGGCCATCCACCACTGCCTTCCCGGGCCACAGCAGAGAGCTGGACTGGAAGAGGAGCAACCGGGATAGAACCATAGAACCAGCACCCCAACTGGGACTAGAACCTGGAGTGCCGGCGCCGCAGGTGGAGGATTAGCCAAGTGAGCCAGGGCACTGGCCCCTTTTTTTTTTTTTTTTTTTTTTGGTCCCTTCTTATTTATTTCCACAGCCATCACAATGGCTAAGTCCCCACAGCTCACCCAGAGGACTGGTTGAAGTGGTCTGGTCAGTCTTCTGTCCCCACAGCTCTCTACCCCAGTGCCTCCTGCGAACAACAAAGAACCGCCCATTCCCTTTGCTGGTGTGGGGTGGCCGTCCTGTTGCTCCAGGAGCTCAGAGCGCAGTCGCCCACTCTCTCTGGCCCTCAGTGCTCCAGCTGCACCTGGGGCTGTCCTCCTGCCAAGCCCCTCTGCCGCCTCCCCCGTGCCAGAGGCTCTCATCACGCGGCTTCTCCTGCCTGTGGTTTTCTCCTACACGTGCAGCTCCCTCCGCCAGTCAGTTTCCACCAACTCTCCTGTAAGTTCCAAGCAAGCAGTGTTCCCTCAGCAAGCCTCCCTGACCTGCTGCAGGCGGACGGAGTGCTCCCTCCCCACCTGCCGTCAGGCGCATCCCCTGTGGCACTGCCACGCCCGTGGACGTGGCTCAGCTTTGTTTTCCCTGTGAACTTTTCTCAAATACACACCTGATGACGGACTAGAGAACCAAATGAGTGAATGTATATGGATGTGAATGGGCTCAGACGGCGTCATTTCTGGGTATGCAAGATGGCCGGGAGAAAAAAGCCATTTGGAGTGAGACCCGTGGTCTCTCCTAAAATATTAAGCAGATGAAGAGTCCCGAGCTTTAAACTTGACTCTGAAACTGGCAGGTCCCTTTCCTGGAACCTCCCTCTCCAGATTCCTGGAAACGCTAGTGAAGGTGACAAACTAATGCGCTCGTTTTTCTCTAGTTTACAGCTACCAGTCCAGCCGAGGCCAGAGACTGGGTGGATCAAATAAGCTTCTTGCTAAAGGGTAAGCGTCATCGTCACAGAAAGACGTGATATTTGAGTCCATTTGCCACTGCTGTCACATTGCGTAAATATCTCTAGGCTTTCAGATGTGGCTTTTCTGCCCTTTCTGGCCTCCCCCTACCACACGCCCCACTTGGTGACAACAAACAGTACCATTCTGTAAGGTAAGGACATCAGCATGGAACTGGCTTCAGGTGTTACTGTTCCTCCACCTGCCTGCAGGCCAGCCTATAATATCCACAATCACCAGAAAAGGAGAGCTGAAAACCAGCCCAGCTCAGCATCTTTTAAGCCCTTACATTCCGGAAAGGAAATCTATGATATCTAACTCAAAGTCTTCCAATGCAATTGAGGTCCAAAACCTTCTTGTTTTAGTCTTAGTAGGAAGTAGAAACCTGAACTGATCTAGGTGGCCTTCGGCACATTGAACTTTAAAAAGTAATCACTGTTTCCTAAGCCACAATAAAAGGCTCCTTGCTCTGGGATGGGATGAGCCCTGACTAAGGATGCTACATGACTGCTCTTAGAGTACCCTCTGCTGGCCAGCCTGCAGGCGCCGCCACAACCATGGCCCAGAAGCCTCCTCTGGGGGCGGACTGGCAGGTGGAAGGAGCCAGCCTTAAGTGAGGCACCTCCACCGCCCCACCCCCCGCCTCAGAGGGCGCTCACAGCCTCCGTGGCAGGCCCCTGCCTCGACAGAAAGGTAGAAACACCAGCGTTACCCGTGGCTCAAGACCTGGCGAGGAGCACACCCACCAACAACCCCAAGCTTTTTCATCTCGGTTTCTTACTCTGCTGTAGGATTTTATGGCGGATAAGAAGAAAAAAGCACCAGAGCTTTAATTACAAGAATTGCCTATTTTGCTCAGTTATGCCTTTGCTCTCGCAAAAACAAAACTATTGTGTCTACCAACAGCGTCCCGTATAATAGACTGCAGCTAGGCAAACATGAGCATTGATGGCGAGGCTACAGGGTACACTCTCATCTAGGTGCCGTGGATTTATGCGTGTAATATACCCCTAAGTGTGTAAACCTCCATAAAACTCGAAACAGCTTTATTGAGCTGTACCCTGTGGTACTTTCAGAATCCCACATTGAAGAAATTATTCATTCCATTTTATTTTAAAACAAACAAAATAATAACATATGGTTGAAGCCACAAATGCGTCTTTGATCCTTTCCTCATATGAGGTGGCACCGGAATTCAGATGAAAATCATTGCAGAATCTTTATTAAAAGCCTAATCAAGCCAAACAGTTTGCGTGGGTTTGGAAACGAACGTCCGCTCTCTCTGTATCCTGTCCTCCCCTGGAGGACACTGGCTGTACACACCCATCCACAGAGCGCTCTGTACCGTGTGGCAGGGAAGGAACCCTCCCAGACCCCCAGCAAAACAAAACAGCGGCCCCCTGCCCTGCCCCGCCCCGCCGCTCCCCTTGGCTGCAGCAGCTCCACATCCTCCACGCAGAGACAAACTTGAAGGGCAGCCTGACCGTGGCTGCAAAAGGACCTAGTAACTGCACCGCTCAGCCGTCCCCTGGGGTCTTGTCTCACTGTCTGTTTTACTTTTCCATTCCCCATTTTTTTTCTCTCTCTTCCACTTTGACCCATTTATTCCCCTCTCCCTTTCTCCAAACTTATCTGCAATCCTGCAGTAAGATCGGAGGGGAGACCAGCTTCCCGCAGCTCAGTTCCCCTGGGAAGCCCCCTTGGTGCCCCCTGCTGCCGGCGTCCGGAGGACGAGGCCCACCCCCCACCCGTCCAGTTTTCTGCTTGAGGAGCAGCGTGTGGCATGCTGGCATTTTCCTCCTCTGCCCTGTTTTCTTCCCTTCGCCTCCTGTCCTTATGCACACACCCATGCTTTCCAGAGCCGCTTCGTCCTGATCAAGTTTTATTGCAGGGAAGGATTTATGTTGATGGTTTAAACCTGATGCAGTGCGAGCCTGGCCTTTTCTGTAGATTTCCTGCCACCAAGGCCCACATTAGAAATAACAGCACTTAACCTAGCGTTTCATTTCCCTGTGACAAGTTTTATTCTCATCCCTCCTTCCGCTCCTCCTCCTCCCCCCTCTTTCCTTCTCTGTCCTATTCTTTTCTTTTTCTCGCTGGTTGTTACATTCTCATCTTTGCCCTTGCAGATCTGAGCTCCTTAACCATTCCGTGCGAAGAGGAGGAGGAGGAGGAGGAGGTGGAGGAGGAGGAGGAGAAGGGGGAAGAGGAAGAAGAAGCAGAAGAGGAAGAGATGTATGATGACATTGATGGTTTTGACTCCCCAAATCCTGGTCCCCAGTGCAGACCCACTGTCTTGCCGGGGGGCATGGGGATCCATGAACCTGCAGAGGAGAAAGAAGACGACATTTACGAGGTCTTACCAGGTGAGAAACTTCGTCTTCTAATTGTCTTGCACTAGTTTCAGAAACTCTTGACCTGGTGGAAGACTAGAACTTTGAAAACGCCAAAGGAAGCCAAATCTCACCTTCATCCTCTGCAGAAGAAAATGCAGAGGAATGTTTCACTCCCGGGATAGAGGCTGTGCCTGCCTCTGGGAGCCAGGCGAAGTTGATCAGGGTGTGTCTTTGATCTGTGCCATATGGAATAACTTATTGCATGCATCAACAGGTTAAAGAGCCGTGAATACTCAGGTTGGTTTCCATTGGTTTATTTCATTGGTTCTAAAACTCTAGTTTCAACTTTTTTCCTGTGTAATTGTGAGAATACTACAAAGTTGCCTCCCAATTCAGGATGTCAAAGTCTACAGTATACAGTGGTGGCTCACCTTTCTAGTGCCAGAAAACCCGACAATTCATCACCACTTAGTTCAGACATACCACAAATCAAAACCACATCTCTTTAAAAAAAAAAAAAAAAAAAGATTTATTTATTTATTTATTTATTTGAAAGTCAAAGTTACACAGAGAGAGAAGGAAAGGCAGAAAGAGAGAGAGGTCTTCCATCCACTGGTTCACTCCCCAATTGGCCACAATGGGTGGAGCTGCACCAATCTGAAGCCAGGAGCCAGGAGCTTCTTACTGGTCTCCCACATGGGTGCCAGGGGCCAAGGACTTGGGCCATCTTCTACTGCTTTCCCAGGCCAGAGCAGAGAGCTGGATCAGAATTGGAGCAGCCGGGACTCGAACCAGCACCCATATGGGATGCCAGCACTGCAGGCGGTAGCTTTACCTGCTACGCCATGGCACCGGCCCCAAAAAGCCACATCTCTTAAAAATGAGCCTAGCATCCTTCCTCTGCCCGCCACAGTGGTCTGCTCTCTGCATTTCCTTGTTTCCAAAGGCATGATCGCCGTCACCTCAAAAAAACGCACAGTCATCCAGGCTCCTCGTCACCCCCGCCAGTGGGATACCAGCAGCTGTGATGGGTGCAGAGCGCAGTGGGGGTCAGACTGGGAAAACTGATGCTTGCACCTTTTCATGGTGAGGGAGTTAGACCACAGGAGCGCTGGACTTTGTGGTCCGTGCAGAAAGATCGCTCCCGTGGAAATTTGCCAGGACTTCTGTGCTCTGCGACAAAATGCAAATTAAGCCTAAATTTATGGCAATTTAAGCCTCAGTCCCAGATGCTCCCAGAAACTAAGGTGAACCCAGTACTCGGGCCCCTGAAGACGGCTGCTTGCTAAAAGCATCCTCAGCAAGTAACTTGCACTGAGGCTCTCTCAGTGCTGGGTTCTGCATTGCCCCTTCCTGGGGGAAAGCCACGTCATTGGTTCCTGAGCCAAGGAGCAGGGCTGTGGCCACACACATCCCTTCCCTGCTGGGGACTTCACCCACCGGGACGACCAGGGGCGGGTGCATCTTCTTCTAGCGCTTCCTGCTTCTGCCAGTCCCGACTTCCCCAGCCTTTTTGTTGTGTTTTATTATGCAAATGATATCTTGGTTGAGGTCGAACCATTTCTTGTGTCTGAAGTTAAAAAAAAAAAATGATAATTTCCTCAGCAAGTCATCGTCGTTAATGAAGTTTTACAAAAACAGATACAACCAAAGGAAAATAAAATTTCACAGGTGATAAATTTTTCCAATTTCCCTGGCAGAATTCGATAGGATTGTTAAATTAAGAGTGAAGGTGTCTGTTAGAAAGCAACGAGCAGTGATGGGTAATTTTATAGAGTGGAAAATTGAATCAAATTGCTACATTAAAACACAGCTCCTCTGAGAATCTTCCCTTTCACAGTCTGCTCCATTGCAACAGCAGGGTGCAGAAATGGATCCAATTCACAACACTCCCTAAAAGGAGATGCACGCCCCAACCTGGCCAGCGTCTTCCTAGCCAGCTTGCGTTCTGCTCACTCCTGCCCAGGCCTGGGGAAATATCCAGGTGACATTCCACGTCGGGTTACAGCTGTGGAGGACCGGCCACTCAGCCCTCTGGGGCGCCAAGAAGGGGCCTTTCATGGACCATGTTTGGTTCTCAGAGGAGTCACGGAGGAGAGGGCTGATGCTCAGAGACACAGCACAGCGGAAGGAGAGGGCAAGAGGCCACAGAAAAGATGAGTTTGGGACCATTGCCGTGTGCTAGGTGGGGTGATGAATGCTGACTGGCTTCTTAGAGACCCTCTTTCTCTCACCTCCTAAACTCCCTATCCTTGGCCATGGTAGCACAACCCAGAATATTAGGGCGTTCCTCCAAGCTTCCCAACAGCTTATATGCTAGGGTGAACCCAAGGGCATGGAGACTGATCTGCCTTCTCAAAGAAGCCACCTACACTGTGTCCATAGCAACTATCTCTTGGGACTAAGAAAAGCCACCCAGCAGAAGAGCCAGGATCTCTTTCTGCTTGTTAGGTAACTTGCCCATAGGTTTTCAAAGGACAACGCTGGGTTCAGCCAACAGGTTCTCTCCCAAGAACCTCCATCCATCACAATGCTGGAGGCGGGACATGTTGGCATTTAATTATGATATGGAAATTTCAGCCTCAAGCTTCCACCACCCAGCCTCCTGTCCGCTCTATTCAGCTTGCCGCTTCTGAGATTGCTTTCTGAGTTTTGCGTATGCCACACCACCACTCCTGGAGGAACTGAGAAGGAATTTGAGGGCGCCAAACCTTGCTTCCCCTCTGCCACCAGTCCCCACGACCCCGTACTTGAGCAGCAAGTACTTGAGCTGTGTTTGAGACACAGCATGCAGGTGCAAGTACTGGCTCTAAGTCAGATGAATCTGTTCGGCCAGCTGTGAGGCCCTAAGCCAGTTACTTGCCCTCTCTGATTATCCTGCCTGTAAATGGGGAAAAGAATAATAGCAATGGTAGATAGATGCAGTGGAGAGTCCAGACCGGATGCATAGAAGGCACTTAACTCAGAGCCCGGGCACATGGCGAGCACTTGGGAGATAAGGGCTGTTATTAGTTCGCTGGGTTACATGGGAAGCACTACCTCCATGAAGAGCTGGGGGGTGGCTGGGTCCCCGCCCTCACCAACCAGACCTGAGACAATCCAGCTGGACACTTCCAGCTATGTGTATGAAGCAGGTGAAATTGAGAATCCCGAGCAGATGGAACGCAGGGCGCACCTTCTGCTCAGGCTCGTTTTTACTGTGAGGCCAGGTGCTGTGTGGAGGGACAGCCGATAGCAACGCTGGCTTGGGCTGACATTGCATCCTCATCAACAGTGCAGTGCTTGGGCCTCTAGCATTGTCTCATTGTAACAGGTAAATGTGCTTTGTAGAGGACATTTGGCATTGACAGTTCTTCCCATCTTCCTCTTTGAGTTGGGGCCTCCATAAGCCCTCACTCCACGGGGAAAGTGAAGTCAGTAGATATCCCTTCCGGAGTTTAATTTAGATGGGCTTCACAGTACAGAGAAAAGTGTACAGAACATACACCACGTCAATAAAATTTTTTTTCCTAATGAAAATAATGTATGGGCCATCAAATTAAACACACTATATCGCATTAATCACGGGATAATTAGCATTTGCTCTGTGGCTAGTGCTTTCTGCCCAGGAGGGAAAACCAGAGCACTCAAGGTTTCCAGCCAGACCACAGAAACGCTAGTCGCGGATCGCATGGTCTCAAAGTTGGTATCCAGTGGGGTTTCTGAACATCCGTGTCCCGTGTATGGGGGCCCTTGACGTTTAGGATCTCATCTGCAAGAGGTGAAACTGCAGGAAAGCACCACGAACAATGCTGAAGCGATGTGCAGCGAATGCGAGGCTTCTCCGGGCCCCTCTCACCTCCCTGAAGTTATTCTTCAGGCCAGCACAGGCCCAGTTCCATGATTCAAGGTTTCATAAAAGGACAGCTTGTCTCAGGGTTCTCTTGGTCTTGGGATCTCAAGGCTGGAATCAGTAAGGAGCTTAAGACCATTGGAGAACCGTAACTGGGGCCTTGTAACAGCTCCTGTCACCACGCCAGGCTGTCCCAGACCCAGAAACCAGACTGCTGTACAATAAAGCGTGTAACTGGCTTTGTAAAATCTGAGTCAAGGGCCGGCACTGCAGCTCACTAGGCTAATCCTCCGCCTTGCAGCGCCGGCACACCGGGTTCTCGTCCCGGTCAGGGTGCTGGATTCTGTCCTGGTTGCCCCTCTTCCAGGCCAGCTCTCTGCTGTGGCCAGGGAGTGCAGTGGAGGATGGCCCAAGTCCTTGGGCCCTGTACCCCATGGGAGACCAGGATAAGTACCTGGCTCCTGCCATCGGATCAGCGTGGTGTGCCGGCCATTGGAGGGTGAACCAACGGCAAAAGGAAGACATTTCTCTCTGTCTCTTTCTCACTGTCCACTCTGCCTGTCCAAAAAAAAAAAAAATCTGAGTCAAATGCAAACAAGCATTCTGCGGAATTGCTTTTTCCCTCTACAGCAAAGGGAAATGGTAATAGTAACAGAAAAGAAGAGACCAAAAATGCAAAGTTCACTTGAGAAAGAACACCGGGGATGCGTCAGGGCCATCATCCAGCCGCCTCCAAGCCTCCTGGCCTCTTCCCTGGCAGCCCTGTGCTCACTGAGTCCCAGCCGCATGGCGCTGCATGGCCAGCACCAACACTGGAATCGCGCAGGCTAAGCCTCTCCTTGGGACACCCGTATCCCATATTGGAGTTCCTGGTTCAAGTCCTGGCTACTCCACACTTCTGATCCAGCTTCCTGCTAATGTACCTAGGAAAGCAGCAGATGATAGCCCAAGTACATAGGTTCCTGGCACCCTCATGGAAGACCCAGATGGAGTTCCTGGCACCTGGATTTGGCCTGGGTCATCCCTGGCTGTTGTCAGGAATGACATTTGGGGAGTGAGCCAGCTGATTGAAGATTTTCTCTCCCTCTCCCTCCTCCCTCCCTCCATTTCTGATGCTCTTTCAAATAGATGAAAATGAATAAACATAAGAAAAAAAACACTACCCCCCCAACCTCAACCTTACAATATACTACAGATTTTGCTAAATGTATCTCGTCAGTGACACTCAGATTCTCAATTAGAGTTGAGCTTTGCTTTAGCCCCAAACCACAGTGATTTAGAGACAGGTCTTTCTCCCCCTTTCGTAAGTGCTTGGTTACTATTTCTGAAATTAAATCCAGTGTGTTCCAAGTGTTGCAGTTAACACAAATTGGTTTAGTACCTTGCAAGGCCATGTCACAAAGATTGGTGGCAAACATTTTAAGGTAACAGCTGAGACGGCCTAATGCAGGGCAGAGAATAAATGTGTCCTCGCATCTTGCTTGTGGTTTGCATGTTGTCCGAGGAGGTGCTGTAGAATCCACAGGTTTATCCCCATGCCACAGGACAGTTGGTTCCTACTTCTGTACACGTTCCCTGTGCACTTTGGGTCTGTTTCTGTCGGCTCTGTCACCAGCACACCTTGACATCTGGTTGCACATCGATAGAGTCGGCGTCGTTTAAGCTCGTGGCCCTTTGCTGTGCTGGGGGGAAGCGATTTCCTCTCTTCCACGTCTGATCATGTTTCTGAATGTTATCCTTCCTGGTACTGGTCTGGCTGAGGGTGGAGGGGTGTCAGGGCAGCACTTCAGGCTGGAGCCAGGAGCCAGGAGAAGCTGGCTCCTCGCTGTCCCTCTGAGGAGAAGTCAGTGTCCTGTTTCTCTCAGCCTCGCATTAGTGTCCCTGATGCTGTGCCAAAAATGTTGATTGCAGCCGGCTCTCTGGGTGCTGCTGCGCTGGCGGTACCTCGAGGCCCCCTTGCATGTTCCCACAGCTCACAGCTCTTCTGCACTGGCTTTCCCACTTGAGATGAGATATTTGGGAATCAACTAGAGCATTTAATGTAATAAGTGGGCAGTAATCTTTGGAGGTTAATTTGTTTAAAGCCTATGTAAGGATGGGGGTCCCATATGCCCTGTTAGGAGCAAGGACCATTACAATATATTACTGCTTAAAGTTGAGCTAGCACATAAATTTTAATTCTGTCTTAAATGAAGATGTATTTCTGTTGATGTAATGCCAAAATGCCTAATAACATTCTTATGAAGAAGTTCAACAAGCTCTTTAACCTAAAAAATGTTTTTCAAAATACTCTCTTAAAATGAAAGCTTCCTGCTACAGATTCATAAAAATGATAAATTTAGCCACCTAATCCACCCCCTTTTTTGAGCATGAAAGACTTTTTTCTGTTGCCATGTCATCCGTTGTCTTGACTTTGGAGTTTGAAAGGCACCGGTTTGGTTTCACGGAAGGACCTGAGATGAACTGGACGCCCCTCTGTGTGCACCGCGCCCTCTGCAGCCGGGAAGGTGTGCGGCACCCAGCCACCTGCGGGGGGCGTTTTCCTTCACCGGGTGACAGTGCCCCACACGCCGTCTCCCCAAGGCCCCTGAGGCACAGCACCCGGCCCATCAATAGCCAGCCTTCTTGATTCCACTCTCAGCCACCCAGGAAGGACAACGCTAGGTAGAACAGATGTGGGGAGCGGAGCTCCCCCATCGCCATCCATCACGATGGAGCTCGGGAGTGGCGGTGAATGATCTATAAGCTCTGTGGCCAGCGTCTTTCTTTCTGTCTAGGTGACTCCAAAGGCGCAGTGGAAATCAGAGAATCTGGTCTGGAATTGAACTGCATAGAACAGATTTCTCTTTCTTCCATTTTTGTAGCATGACTAGATTAAGTGCAGTTGCCTGAAAGGAATCAAGTTTTAGCTTTCATTTTTATCATTGCAAATACATTTACATTCTGCTTTTTTACAAATGCAAAGAGCAGGCAAGCCACTTTCAATAATTTATTTTAAAATCAATGCTAATGAGGTTATGTCTCGTCAGTGGCCGAGTTTTACAATAAAGTCTGATTTATTTAGAAAAGATCTTTGGTGTAGCTTCCCATCTAATGGTGGTGGAAAGGAGGTGGAGTAGCAGGCACGGTGACCCTCCAACTTCGGATCCAATTTGTAATTCACAGTGGAGATCTGACCCAATTTACATTGATTAGAATTGGGAGGAAGAGACAGCTGCGCGCAGACAGCAGAGGTAGAATAACCCTCTCTGCACAAGTGCCTGCACACAGCAAATTATTGGGCTTTGTGATTGAGGAGTTTGATATCAGCAAAAGCGCTGCTCTCTGTCCAAATTGTTGGGTGGCTCCAAAACCGAGGAGGCGCCAACTCTTGCTTTAAGGTTTTCAGTCTTGTAAGATCAGCCCACGTCGACAAGGAAAAGCTTCACAATGGAGGAAGGAGGGGAGGAGGACACAAGGGACGAGAAGATGATGTACCAAGAGTGATGCTTCATGGGATTTGTTTCAGCGTGATCTGGCATGATCTAGCTCCTATATGTGATCTCACTCCTCTGTTATCACACGTCTTTATTCCTTATGGTGGGGTTGGGGGGGGGTTCCCTACAGATGTTCAAGTAGGAAGTTCTCGGCTACCTGATCATACACCGAGAAAAGAATTGTTGAGTTAAAGAGCGTCTTGCAGCATCAATATATGTAACTCATACATATGCACACACACACACACAGTTTAGCTGAAGACAGATTCCCCAGAATACCACTGCCTTAATTCTTATTTTTGCAAAGAACAGTATTATTTTTATGTGAAACCAATTACTTCTTTGATGTTTGGTGGTGTCTTAATATACTTTTGTGCTGTTTCTCCTAACTTATGAGCTTGACCTTTGCTTCCCATACTCTGACATACTGGGTCTCCATACCTTACAAGGTTCCATTTAGTGGCATAGCTAGGGAGAAGTAAAACCAGAAAGTGCCCTGAGACCAGAAAGTACAGCCAGGAGAAACTGAGTACTCAACCCTCAAAACATGGCTTGTTCAACCCCGCACACGGAACATATGCATGTGTGTGTGTGTGTGTGTGTACATGCATGTACGAGATGAAGGAAGTGGGGATGACAAGAGCAGCAAGTGTATTTTTGCTTGTGTTGCCCAGTGTATAAAATAGCTAACTATGATTTCGGTCCACATGCTCTCTTTATAAACGCCCAATTCCCATTTTGTCAGGGAGTATCAAGCCTGAGATGAAGTAAGTTAATGAGAGTAAGAAACGTGGGCCAATCATGTTGTGACTTTGACCATATAAACACTTGACTGGAGTTAGACACTAGCATTGACTTAGAACCCATTGTGAAGGTACAGCAATTAATTAAAAGGCCATTCCAACTGCCCTCGGGAGCTTATACTCTAATGAACAAGGCAGGCTAGAAAAAAAAAAAAAAAAACAGTAAAAAGATAACGACACGCCCCAAGTACTAAGAACATAAAATTCTGTACATGACCAGCCTCCAATACAGCTGACCAAAGACGGATACATTAAGGACTAATTGATCACACAGGCTTTGAACACGCACTTCGATGCATACAGAGACACCCCAGCAGCCTAACCCTGGAGTGCCTAAAGCCAGAGAGAATGTGTGCTTAGAGATAACAAGCCGTAAAGAGAATTCTGGAAGGAAGGAGAAATGGGGTCCAAGGGATAGGATCAGGCGTCCAGTGACAGGTACCTCCAGCGAACAGGAAGCTCCACGAGGACAGGGACCCAACAGCCCTGTCCCCCATGCGTCCCCAGGTTCTGGCGCAGCGCCTTGCCCATGGGAAACACTTCAAAATGTTGGTGAGTGCAGGTAGGGGCAGCAGACGAGGGCCATTTGAAGGTGAGAGATAACTTTTTTAAAAAGAACATGATGGGGCCAGTGCTATGGTGTAGCAGGTAAAGCCACCGCCTGTGACACCAGTATCCTATATGGGCACCGGTTCGTGCTCCGGCTACTCCACTTCCCATCCAGCTCCCTGCCAATGGCCTGGGGAAGGCAATAGAGGAGAGCCCACGTGTTTGCTTCCCTGCCACCCACATGGGATACCCGGATGAAGCTCCTGGCTGCAGCCAGCCTGAGCCATTGCCGCCATCTACAGAGTGAGCCAGCGGATGGAAGTTCTCTCCCTCTGTAACTCTGACTTTCAAATAAACAAATCTTAAAAAAATAAATAAATAAAGAGGACATGGTAATTAAACTCTCCTTAAAAACAGAGTATGATGAGCTCAGAGAAAGAAGACCCCTGCAGGTCCGCTATATACACAACGTGAGGCTGTGGACCAGTGATTGCTAACACTGCCTCTTTATGCCCTTAGATGAAGAGCATGGCCCAGAAGATGACGAGAGTGGCACCTGGCGAAAAGGAGGTACGAGAGCTCTGTCAATACACAGGCACCGGGCAGGGCATCCAGGCTTCTAACTAGAGAAAGCATCTCTCTCTCTCTCTCTCTCTCTCTCTCTCTCTCCCTCTCTCTCTCTCCTTCTCTGTCTCTCGGCAAGCCTAAAGCCAGTTCTTGATTGACTAATTAGAGTCCTGGTGTATGGTCCCCAAATCCCCAAATAAGGTAACCAGAGAGGGAAATACCTTGACTTCAGAATGCAGCCACCCATTCACTTCGTTAATGTCCCGAGAGCCACTGAGCTTCATCCCAGAGAGGGTAGGGAGCCAAACCAGATATTTATTTTTCCCTATCAGTATTTCTTCAATCAGTGCAGTGGAAATAGAATTGCCTCCTCTCTAAGAGATCAGAGGATTGAGGATGGAAATGATGGCGATGTCTCCTCTCCAAGGGGCCGGGAGATTGGGAGTTGGGAAGGGAATGGAAATGTGTCAGATCTGAAAAGTGAACCTGGGGTGAGGGATGGAAGCGCCTGGGGAGGCTGACTTCTGATGGCCTGCTTGGATTCCGGGCACATTTGGAGATGAATATGTAACAGGTCTGTTGAATACCAAATTGCATCTTACTCATCCCAGACTGTTAAGCATGCTCCAGGCTGTTAGCGAGCCCATCCTTGGCGAGGTCAGACGCCCCTCCGAAGCCTCCCTAAGTGGACTGAGGGCCTCGGTGTGTCGTTGTCAGTGAAGGAAGGCTCTGCCTTGCCATGGCCACCCCAGGACATCTGTCCCGTCAGCAGGGCCGGATCAGGGCTGATTGTCCTGAGGCTGTGAACTCTGCAGCCTAGGAGTTGCTCCCTCCTTGCCTCCCTGCTCCCTCTGGCCCCAGCTCTTCCCATCCCCCCCTCAACTCCTTTCCTTGGGCCTTTCTTCTCTTCCCTCATCTGCTCAGAAGGCCCCCTTTCCTCGGTCCCTTCTCTGTAGGGAGTGAATGCTCAAAAGGGCTCCTGGAGGACCCACCTTCCTAAGGGTCCAGCTTCTCCCAGGGCAGAGAAAAGACAGCGGAAGAGCAAGGGAGAAGGGAAGACATTAACGTGGCGGCCAAGGCCTCGTCAGAAGCCACCAGGCCATTAAGTCCTTTCTGGGAGCTGCTGTCCCCTGTTTTCTGTGTGTGTGAAGAATTCCAACAGAAAAGATGTCTTTTCTCAACCAACGTCCACGACCAGTGCAGAAAACACAGCTTGGGTGCGTGGGTGGGGAGACCGTAAGCTTCCTATGGCCACCTCTGTCTTTTTTTTTTTTTTTTGACAGGCAGAGTGGACAGTGAGAGAGAGAGAGAGAGAGAGAGAGAGGTCTATCCCCAAAATGGTAGCCGCAGCCGGCGCACCGCGCTGATCCGAAGGCAGGAGCCAGGTGCTTCTCCTGGTCTCCCATGGGGTGCAGGGCCCAAGCACTTGGGCCATCTTCCACTGCACTCCCGGGCCACAGCAGAGAGCTGGCCTGGAAGAGGGGCAACCAGGACAGAATCCAGTGCCCCGACCAGGACTGGAACCTGGTGTGCCAGCGCCACAAGGCGGAGGATTAGCCTATTGAGCCTCGGCACCAGCCCACCTCTGTCTTAAGCTCCATTCTTCTAGTAAAGACAGAATCCACTTCAGCTCCTCCCACTCCTCATTTCCTCCTCCTGCCTCGCTCTCGCTAAGGTTCTGTCTGGGAGGTGAGAGGAGTTGTATTTCCTAACTATTCCAACAGCTATAATTCAAGCAAGTTAAAAAAAAAAAAAAAAACACCACTTCTGTTCCCCATGCTTCCCGCCTCACCACAAGAGGTGGTGTTCAAGTACAGCAAGCTGTAAATAAGTTTCTCTGGCCCACACTTCCCACCAGTTATAATGATTGGTGACTTCATGATTAAAAACAGAAGGACATTTTGCTCTCTCTGCAGAATCTGAGGCAGGAATTTTTCTTATTTGTGTTCACTTATTTATTTATTGAATTTAAATAGCGCCTTTTCTGCAAAGGAGCTAGAGAAACAACGACAAATATGCAACATCCAAACGTCACCACTTAGTTTTATAACAATAAAATATGGAGGGCTGGGGGGAAGGGCAGGCAGCCCCAGTGAAGACATTCAGAAGGAAGAGAGCTCTAAGGGTGAAGCCTCATCTCGTAGACCGGCTGCACAAGCTGGCTTCCCTTCGTTTCTCTCAGATGTTAATGTGCCAATGAAGGGGGAAAAATGAAGCTAGTTGACCTCCTCCAAAAAAAATATTTATATATATATATATATATATATATGCGCTATGGCTGTCAGGGTTACCTTTAAAATCCAAATACCAGGGGAGGCACTGTGGCACGCAAGTAAAGCCACTTCTTGGGAAGACCACATCCTATATCAGAGTGGCAGCTCGAGTCCCGGCTGCTTTGTACAGCAGGTGATGGCCTAAGGACTTAGGCTCCCGCCACCTACAGGGAAGACACAGGGGAAGTGAAGTTCCTGGCTGACCTACCTCCTGCTGTTGTGGGCATCTGGGGAGTGAACCAGCAGATAGAAGATCTCTCCCTCCCTCCCTCTCTCCCTCCCTTCTCCCCTCCCTCCCTCTCTCCCTCCCTTCTCCCCTCCCTCCCTCCCTCCCTCTCTCTCTCTTTGTCCCTGTCTCTATCACCATGCCGCTAAATAAATAAATAAGCCTTAAAAACAAAGCTCCAAGTGCTTCCTCCACCACCCAGGGATCCTGTTCCTTGAATCGCGTGCTTTTCCCTGATGGGATTGCTAACATTCTAAGGGCCAGACAGATCTTAGCAGGAGGGGGTGGGGAGGAAGAAGGAATTTTGTTTGCCTTATTGAGTGTTAATGACCCTGTGCGATGTAATTTCTTCTATTTTATTCTGTTACCTAGAAAATCTATCACAGCCTTGTAGTATTGATTGTTCAATCCATAAGGAGCTGGGTGTGCAGCGTGACTGTTAGTAACAGGGTTGTTTTAATGAGTGACTCTTCAACACCTCAGACTTTCGCAAAGTGCCCACCCCTCAGCCTAGCAGTCTGACACAGCTCCTCACTCCCTTTCCATGGAAAGGTAGTATTCTACTTGGTTACTTACCAGAAATAAGGCGTGTTCTGTGCTGTTTGTATCAAAAAGTCCTGGCCATTTGCTTGGATGTGCAGTGGCCAAAAAAAAGCAGCTTGGGGGCATGAATTGTCCTCACACACATCAAACCCCTGAGCAAGGAGGACCTTAAACAATAGGTTTTTGGACACCATGTGCTCTGAAATTGTGGGCAAACTAAGTCAAAGAGGAGACAGACCACACTATTATGGTCTTAGCCGCATTCAATAACTCCAGGAGGGCAGAAGGGTGCTTGCATCTGCGCATCCCATCTCTGCGGCTCTCCCGCCGCTCCGTGTCCACCAGGAGCGAGCTATCACACGCGGGGAACGGAAGGAAGCCGCAGAGGGGTGGCAGCTCCTAACCTGTGGAGATCCGTGTTTCAGCACGAGCTCACCAGCAGCTAGGCAAAGCTGTGGTCCAACCAAAGGAGCAAAGGAGAGGAAAATCGGAATCAGCGAGTGGCCCCCACATCCAAGTTGTTCCTACAACGTGAAGACCTGTCGTGACCCCAGAGCTCCATGTCAGGGAGCTGCAGGAGCAAGCGAACAGGGTTGTGGGTCACTCTTCTTGCTCTCCTGCCAGTCAAAGCGGATGCGATGGGTTGTTTGGTTTTTTTGTTTGTTTGTTTTTTTGTTTGTTTTTTTTTTCAGGCCTTCTTTCTGAAATAGGAGATGGCATCCACTTGAATGGACTGGAACACGGCAGCCCGTCCTGGCCTGTTTCAGTTCACCTCCACTGGGTCACCTCTGGCCTTTTACATACATATATGTAAATGAATGGTCAAGAGCCTCCTTTCACTCCTCTTCTCCATCAGTCAAGTGGTTGTACCCAACTTCAGGCCTCTTTGACAGTCTTCACTCATCAAGAAAATGTAAACAGGGGTCGGCGCATTGGTTAAAGCCCCGGCCTGCAGTGCTGGCATCCCATGTGGACACCAGTTCTAGTCCCGGCTGCACCACTTCCAATCCTGCTAATGTGCCTGGGAAAGCAGTAGAAGATGGCTCAAGTGCTTGGGCCCCTGCACCCCTGTGTGAGACCCAGAAGAAGCTCCTGGCTCCTGGTTTCTGATTAGCTCAGCTCTGGCTGTTGTGGCCATATAGGGGTGGAAGACCTCGCTCACTCTCTGTCTCTACCTCTCTCTGTAACCCTATCTTTCAAATAAATAAATCAGGAAGGAAGGAAGGGAGGGAGGGAGGGAGAGAGTAAAGAAATGTCAACAGCATGCTGACTTGCCTTTAGTCTCTTCCCTGGTCACAGCTTGGATCCTGGAGCTACACATTGTTCCCCAGACAAACACAGCCAGGTTCTGTCGTCCCGAGAAGCAGAAAGGTGCCCCAGCCTCTCACCTGAGAACTTTCCACATCCTGGAGGCTGATTCTCAGCCTTTGGCTGTCAGCAATAGCACCAACTTGGCCTCAGTCACAGGAAAAATAACCATCACTCATTCTAAAAACCCGGCCTGCAATGACAAATGCTTTACAGTAAATACCTGGGAAAGAGAAAAACCAATACTGTGTTTTAAATCTGGTCTGTTACTACCCTTCCTGTGATGTTTTGTTTGGTTGGAGCTTAGCTTCCCTTACATGGGATAAAGAGAATAAGCTGCTGCCCCCCCCCCCTTATTTTCCTCTAAAAAAAAAAGTGCTCTTCAGCTCGGCTAGCAATTTAAATGCAGTGATCATACCCATTAGCTTCTCCATCATTGTAATTGTTGTTAATTGTTATAACTGTTTTAGTTATTAGTGGTGTCATTATTGCTCTAGGTCCTCTGTCTGTTTTATGCTGAATATATTAGAGCTTTGCTTTTGAATTACCAGGCTTTATTTAGTGCAGAGTTACGTTTTTTTGGAGAGACATTGAGAAATGCTGGCATTAAGCTTTATTCTTTTGTTTTTCATTCCAAATGGACAGACTGGAAA